ATTGTGGAAAAGGCTATTTTTAAACATTTTTTTCATTCATATAATAAATATAATTAAAAAATGTTAATTGAATGGAAGGGCGGCATAAAACGTGGACATTCTGAGGGGGATCCGTTTAGAGATCAGTTAACAAATGTTAAAAGGGTACCGGCGCACAATCCGCGAGATGCACGTGACTTTTCTACACCCTCTGCCTCACGTGGCCAACTTGCCCGTTTTTCCGGGACCCACTGCCCATACATTTCTTTTCTATTTTAATATACTTTTTCTCCCATCATAAATTTTTTATCTTTATTTACTCGATAAACTTTAAAATTTAGTAATATTTTAAAAATGACGAAGAAAATCAAAATTATTTAAAAATTAATATAAAAATAAAATGTATATATATAGTCTAAGAAAGAGCTTCTTTTTTTGGTTTGGTGGGGGTAATAAGTAATGGTTATTAAAATAAAGAAAAAAAAGGAGAGTGAGGTGTGGAGAGGTGATAGGGTATTTAGGGCTGTGACAAAGGATGAGGTGACAGCACTGAACACGGTAGTGTCGTTCAGTTGAAAAGGCACGTGATATGGCAGTTAGCTCACGTGTGGAAAGTCATGTTATATTGTCGCATGCGCTTTTGTGAGTGCTATCACAGAGAGAGGCCACAGCAAAGCACGAGGCAGTTTCACATCAGCGTTAGACCCACCTCTCCATGTTCCAACGAATTATCGGCTCAACTCAACAATAGAGCGCCACGCTCACTTCCCTCTACCGCATACATTTCCCTTCCATTTTGGTCCCCTCAAACCGTCACCTCCTTCTTAGAACCCACTTCTTTTCTTTTAACTCTCTGCTTGGTTTATACTAATGTCTACTCCGTGTAGAAGTTTCCACACTTTTATAAGAACCACTTTGTTCTCCACTCTAACTAATGTAGGACCTCACAATCCACAATGTCCTCACTGAACATCGCTCGGTGTCTGACTCTGATACCCTTTGTAACCGTTCAAGCTCACCTCTAGCAGATATTATCTACTTTGAACCATTTATTTATTACTCCCAAAACTTTTCTGCTTACTATTACACACAATTTGGCTTCTTTACAGCCTACGATCAGGAACCCACCTCCAGTTTTTCTAACATCAGGGCATTAACAACATCCTTCACATACACCAGGAAGCATTCCCTGCAAGATTCTGGCCTCAGAGTGGACCTGTGAAGCTGCCCGACTTCTTCTTCTGTGTGCTTGCAAACCGAGCACGATAAGAATCGCTTGCTGGGTTTTGGAGGGGGTTCTAAACCACATGCTGCCATGATGGTGTGAGTTGCAAGCCTTGCTACTTCCTTGTATCTTTCATATCCTGCATAAATCTCAGATTAATTAATATTCCACTCAACACAATCCTGTTACAAGATAAACCTGGAAGAGCTTTACATTTAATTGCATTCAAACTAATGGCAATGGGGGTAGCGTAGAACGTGACATCATACCCAAATTTTTGTCTCGGCTTAGGAGTTTTAGGTTGATCTTGACCAGTGTTCGTATCTCACTTTTGGGATCCTGATCGTTGCCAGCCTCACGAGCCACATGGCCTCTCTCTGAGGCTTGTGTCATTGTGGAGGATGAAGAAAGTTCATCCACGATTTTGTTTGATAGCTTTCTTCTATTTTCATAGTTGAAATCACCTCGAGAAGTTTGGACTATATTACCCAGGGAGGATTCTCCATAACTGGATGAGCTGGTAGGAAAAAACTCATCAGAAGCTTTACTCTTCTTACTTGCTACAGGACAACACAGTTTCTTATCCAACTCGGGCAATCTTTGCTTTCCCATTTCCTTCTTATGCTTTGCTGGTTCCTTTAGCTTCTGGATTTTGAACTGTTGGCCCTTCGCTGTATGAATATCTTTTATTTTTGTGTTCATTTGTCTGCTAACAGGATGTTTCAAGGTTTGATCTTCCTCGCGTATGGCCTTTGCCTTTGCAATTTCCATCATCCTCCATGCCTTCTCAACATCATAAGAGCTTCCATTAGACTCAGGTCCAGATGTCGCCTGCACGTTAATGGCTGTAGAAAAATGGGGTTCACCCGTTTGGCTGTTTACTGCAGCACCAATATCTCGTTTGGAACTGTTGCCACAATATGTTGATGAGCTGCTAGCGGGAAAGCTCAGTGACCCCCTTCGTAAGCCACCCCAATTTTCACGTAATGCTCTTATATGGCTATGGATGTTACGACAGCGATGTAATGTTCTTGCACTTGTTCCAGCAGCTCTACCACCACGACTAGGCAATGATTTATGGGCCACGCTGCTTCTGCTTCTCCAACTGGGGACAATAGAAGGTGGCTCGTGACTTGAATGTAAAACGGCTATTCTGCGAGGTATGCCAACTGTTTGAGCACTTGATTCTTTTACTATATCGGAAATGGAGATGTGGGCTCTAGCAGATTCTGTTTGATTTTGATCATTGTAACCAGTGTTCAATTCAGGATCGGCATGTTGAGCCCTGGAGATAGTACAATCATGGCAAAACCAATCGCCTTCAGGCACATTAGCACCTAGGCCGACACAATAAGTATGAGCAGCTGAATCACAGAGATCGCAGAGTAACATGAGACCTTCATCTTCCATACCCTTGCACACAGTACAACATGTTTCTGCATATGGATCCCTATTCGTAGTATTTTCAATAACAGAGCGATCCTGAAACCAGGAAAGTTACAAGCTTGTGAAACTATGCGCATTTCTACACTCAAGTTGAACTATGTTGCCAGAGAAACACAAAACAAGCTCTAGAAAAACGAAATTATAAAATTTGGGGTCCTTTTGATAACCATTTTTTTGTTTTTCCATTTTTCAAAAATTAAGCTTATAAACACTACTTACTTGCACGTATAATATATATATTTTTTTTTAATAAAAAAACGTTTTATTTTAAAATTTTTTAAAAAATCAAGCCAATATTTGATCAATTTCAAAAAGTGGTTTTAAAAAACTGATTTTGTCATTGAAGTTTGGCTTAGAATTTAAAGGTGTGTTTTTTTAAGAATGAGAAAAACTTACCAAAAACTTGTGACAAACAAGTATAATAAACAGAAAACTAAAAACAAAATGGTTATCAAATGGACGTTAGACGTTTAAAAGATGATGAACTTTGAGGGACTAAAACATTTCTGGTGAGGAGATATTAGTATAAATGCTTATCATATTTATGTTTCATTACCTAGACAATAATATATCATAAGCAATTTGACCCTATAAAAGTATAAAAAAATTCTAATCTTTCAAAAACTTCTGCAATTGCTACTCCAACCAGTAGATAACAAAAGAAAGAGTCATGGATGTCGTAGATATCATAATTATGCAAAATTATATCTATTTGGACCATATCCTAGCAAGTGCCCTCAAAGTTTCAACATTGTTCAATACAATTAAACGTAATTATAGTTAAATTTGTTCCTATAGCCACAAGTTTCAACAGAAAGGGAAGAATGATACTTGCAGAGAGCTCTACAATGCATTATTCAAACTATAATCGAACTGATCCTTGCAGTCAAGCATATTGGCGTCACTTCTAAAACGAAAAATTCCCAGATTCATACAATTAAACACACGATATTCAACCAATAAAAAAACGCATCCCTAAAGCCCTAGAAAAGCTCAATGTCAATCATAGAGCACAATAAAGCAGCAAAATGTCAACAACAGAGTTACCAACCTGATTCCGCATTGGAATATTAACAATTCGTTCACGTAGACGACAGATATCCTTCGCAATTCTATGAACAACAGTGAATCTGCCCTTGCAAGCAGGGCATCTAGATTCAATCCTCGCCCACTCCATAATGCAGACGAAGCAAAAATAGTGGTCACAGGAGTCAAGCTTACCTCTCTCCGCTTTTCCATCATCCGAAAAACAAATTACACAGATAGAACAAGGATTATCGTCTATCAGCGGCTGATTTTCTTGAAATTCACCTTCCGCAGATTCGTTTTCGAACCCGGATTTGGTACTCGCGGAAGGACAAGAAATTAGGGCCTTTAGGCGATCTTCTGGGGAGGCGAGGGGGTCAGATGAGTCGTCCGCCATCGTCGGTGAGCGGCAGCGTGGCCGGACCGCCTCGATTAACTCCGGCGAAAGAGTTCAAACGGGATCAAGGAGGATCATCGACGAACAGTACATGGGGGAAAGGGCTACGTTTCTAATATTTTATTATCCATTTCTCAAAAAAATAAAAATCGTGATTATTTTTGCGAGGACGAGAAAGAAAAAGTTAATAAAATACCTTTCAACTTATCCAAAAAGAATAATAATATATTCTTCAATTTTCAAAAAATTAATAATATTATCCGTTTCAAAAATACTTTCCAACCCCTACAAAATTTCAGATTAAAAGGGTTAATATTTTGCTTAAAAAATATTCTTCCCAAAAAAATTAAATAAATTTCAAAAAATACTTTTTTAAATTTTTTTAAAAAATTCAAAAATATATTTACCGTTATATAAGGAGTTGATAAACCATTTTTATTTATATAATAATTAATAATTTTTTTAATTTCCAAAATTGTAGGAGTATTTTTTAAATATATTACAAACCATTAATATATTTTTAAATTAAAAAAGAAGTAATATAGAGTTTTTGACGTAGAACAAAACCCAAATTATCAACGACTTTATAATAGGCAGACACTACTTGCAACATGTTGAGGTAAAATCATCCAATCACATAGTATTGACGCCACTAACCTAAGCTTACCAGGTCTAGTATACCACTTCCAAAACTCAAATCGTGTACACGTTACTTTCTCAACTTCACCTCTTTTTGCCAACACCAACCCTTGATGTTTGATAAGAGCATATGGGCAGGGTACTCGTTCATTCTTCCTTCAAAACTAATGAATGGTGGGTCATGAGGTATCACTTTATTCATAAAGCTTCCTTCAAAACTAATAAATGTTGGGTCATCAGGTATCACATCCAAAGAGGTAAGTAAGCTGATTATTAGCTCAAACCCAATTAGTTTGATCCATTCTTTTAGTATGGCCCACATCATAAAACCATGAACTGTTAAAGAAAAAGTAAAAAGAGAAAGAAAAAGAACCTAAAACCCAATGAAAAGAACCAGAAATCAAATTAGATTAAAAGCAGTGATGATGAAGAAGGATAAAGATCTACAGTATATATATATATAAAGTGGTCTACATATCAGGTTCAGGTCTTCGAGTATTAATGGAGCTCCCAAAAGGCTCATCACAGCTTCTTAATGGCGTCAAGAAATCAGTAAGAATAATCTGAAGAGATGAAACCTTGCGTCTGAGCTCTGCATTCTCATGCAGGATCTGCTGGTTGCATTCCAGTAGCTGTATCAGCTTCTCCGACAGCTGACGGTTCGAACCTTCCAACTGCCCGACCTGAGACCGAACAAAGTCTTAAAATTTTTCGCAACAATATCGAAAAATATCAATCAAACAAACGATCTTGCCTGGTATTGCAACTCCTCGATCTGCTTCTTCTTCCTCATCCTCGACCTCCTCGCCGACTCCCGATTAGATATCATTCTTCTCAGCTTCCGCTCTGCCATCACGCTGAGATGGTGATGGCGGTGCACGTCGAGAGCGGTATCGCAAGACGCGGAATTGGGAGAGGAGAACACATTACTACAATTAGTGTTCATTGAAGGGAACAATATTTCTCTATGGAAACCACATGAACCGTTTGATTCATCTTCCTCATCGCCTTCTCTTCTCATCATCATCTTCAACTCATTAAATGGGTTTTCAGCAAACCCCAAATCTTCATCCATTACACACATACAAATAACAAAGCAAGCAAGCATAAGGGGACATTAAAGAGGCTGATGGGTAACCATTTAGAGCTCCAAAAATTAAGACACTCAAAAAAGAGTGTTATTTCTTAATGGGTAAGTTTTTTTTTTTTATAATATGCTTTTGTGATATCTTCTAATGCACAAAACTTTGGAATAAAATTCACCAATATACAGTATATATAAATGCATGGGGTTGCTTAGAACACATGTTCAACCTCTCATGTCAAAATCAATCACATATATATGACATTGACATATGCCAATATTCTTACCAAAACCATATGAAAATCCGAGATCATAATGTTTTCTTGTAATTTATTTTTACTATAAAGTTTTTAAAACAATATGTTTTCCTTTTAAAACTCCCACCCACTATGCCATATCTTGGATGCATTTAAGGAAGCTTTGTAATTTTTTTTATTTTATGGGACAAAGCTTTAGTGGTTTAATTAATCCATTTTAGTTTGTAAGTATTTTTATTTTGGGATTGAGGTTGATTAATTATTTGAGTATTGGAGAAAATTTTGCTGCTTTGTCCTTAGGGTTTTGGTTAATTATGGTTGCTTCCAACTCAGACCCATCTCTGCAAATTAAACAATTTTGCTCTTAGGCTTATTATAAGCTAGCTTCCATTAACACATGGCCCCTCCCCCAACATTTAATAGTATTATTATTTTTAAGAATCTGTCTCCATTAAAATAAACCTCAAGTTTATATATAGCTAATGAAGGGGGCCCCTTGTAATTATGGCAAAGACTTGGTTTAAGAAGCAATATTATATATATACATATATATATATTAGTTCTAATTAAAATGTCAAATGTTATTTAAATAATCTCATAAGATATTACCGAACGAATTTTAGAGTAATTTCTCATCTCTTCAATCGATGAGGGATCTCACAATTCACCTTCTTTGAGAGCTAGCATTCTTGCTAGCATACAACCCACTAGTAGATATTGTCTTATTTGAGCTTTCCTTATTTTGAGTATATACACATTAAGAAAAGCATAAAAAAAAGAACATGAAAAAAAAAAAAAAAAAGTTTGAGAAAATTATTCTTTTGGCACTAAGAAAATATTTAATGGGTGTGGTTGGGACAATATTAAATCTCACCCTATATGTCTATTTAAAGGCATATAAAATTCCATTTCTATAAATAAAATAAAAAAACAATTAAAACATACCCTTTTTAGCTTAATTAGTAAAATAATTTGAAATTTCCAAAAAGGGATAATGAAAAGCTTAATGGTATTAATTAAGATATTGTGAAATCTTATTGACCCAATAAAAGAGAGATTATGACATTAAACTCATAGCTAAAATTTGAATTTGCGTATGAAAAACGAATCAATATTTTGATTAGTCATATCATTAAGAAGGAATTACTGAAAATGGAAATGATTTATGATATTTTTAGTATGAAATTGATGAGACTTTGATATCTTTATGTGTATTTTTGCAGTAAAACGCCTAAAATGGGGTATTTCCAATGTTATTATATGCTACAAATTACATGCAGTTTAATTAATTATGGGTATAACATATGGTTAGCAAGTGCAATATCTATTATATGCTTTCATATTCTATTTTAATTATGAATTGGGCTTCGTTACAACCAGATGGGCTTTCTAGTTTCTTATTTTCGGCCCATTCACTTTCGACTCCTTATCCAATTTTTTTTCTATAATATTGTTTAAATATCATAACCTCAAAATTAACTCATTTGCTTTTTTAATATAACTAGAATATATATATATATATTTTTTATAGTAAACGGGATGGGGACGAGAAATATAATCGAGTCTTCGGCTCCATTTATCTAGCGAGGAAAAAATGTTTTCCACTCCCTCTTCGATTCCCTATCGGGAATCCCCTCCTTATGAGTAAAATAGACATCTCTAATTGCGACGTGCGTATAACTGACATAGAAGATTGTAGAAAAATTAATGTTCTCAAATTAATTTTTGAAAAGAATAATACTTATTTAGAAAAATTAATTTTTAATGCTCTCAAATCAGTTTCTTTTTAGTAATTTCTTACGAACAACGAGAAAAAGTTGATAATATTAAATATTCGGATATAATAATAAATAAACATTAAACAAAACAAAAAAAAAAACCTACGAACTTTGTTGTCGTTGTTGACTACTTTTGTGGGGCCTATCACACTCCTCAATAAATAAGATTTAAATAGGAAGACTCATAGTCAACGCCAATTTGTTAGGTATTTTCTAGATAATTAAAACCCTAAAAGCAAAATACTTTTTATTCTTTTATTTATTAACTTTATTATAAAATAATTTATTCTATGTCCTTCCAAATTAAAACAATTACATTATATAAATAAATTTAGGTTAATTTCTGATGGGTTTTTTATGTAGAAGCATGGGAGTTGCGATTGTGATCGAATGGCTTAACTCTTTTTCACAATATAAATATTAATTAAACGACAACTATAACCTAACGAAGTCAACTGCATATACTTATTATATTTACTTTAAATTAATAATTTCAACCGTTCATGGGATTAACCTGCTTTTTCAATATCATGCCGATTGAAGTTTCGAATCTCCAATAATTAACGGGTAGAATCTTTCTTGAGATTGAAGTTTCGAATTTCTACATTTGGTGTGATATAATATAAAGCAACAACAATAATCAAAGTGGTCGAAGAAGAAGTATATATATAAATTATGGTACTTAAAAGTAGTAATATGTGATGCTTCTCGTCACAGAAAAGGAAAATACGTAATTTATTCCATCTCTTTTGGTATCAACCGTCCTTTTCCTTTGTTTTATTGTTATCTTTTCTTTCCCTTTTAAACTTCTATTAACCCACCGCCGAGTGACCTAAAACATGAACAGATCCCCACAAGGAAGGGTTTTGTTTGATTGTTGGGGCTATATAAGTATCACAAACATTGGCCAAGTGGGGGGAGACATGGAGAATGGAGAAAGGAAATAACGAAGAAGAAGAAGAATATGATGAGATTCAAAATGGTGAGCGATGGCATTGTCAAGCTCTTTTGGGAAGCCCTCTCAAGAGCAAGAGCCTTCTTTGTCAATGCCAATGCCTATGCCAATGGGCGCTTAGTCCATTCCGAAGAAGCCGGAGCCGCTGAGTACCAATGGCGCCCTGTCACGGCCGTGGAGATGCTTGTGCAGTGGGAAAACATGATGGTCACGTTCTGCATGGGCACTGCCATTGCCATAGCCACTGTCTCTGTTCAAATCCAGACCAAGTTGTCTCCCATGTTCCAATTCCTGTCGGCTGCGTTAATGGGCTGCTTTTGTTTCACCACCTCTGCAAAACTCATCAAGCACCAAAGGGTTTCTCAAATTCTGTATTTCCTTGGTGGGTTTTGCTTCGTCACTGCCTTCTTTATCGCCATTGCCATTCCCTATGCTTTTCACTTCCAAATTCTCACATTGGCTCTCTACCTTGTCTTCTTGTTCATAGCTGCCTTCAGTTTATTAATTGGGTGATTCAGATTGCGTCATCAAATATTAAATCATAAGATCTATCACCATGTCCTAATGTTATTAGATTACTATAAAATGTTCCTTTCACAAGTATTTATGAATCAACATTCTTTATCTGGATAGAATTCTATCTATTGGGAAGAACAATTAAACGTGTGTAGAAACCTCTCCCTAACATACACGTTTTCAAAATTTTGCGAAGAACGGTGATTCTTTAAAAGGGTAAGGGTGTGGAAACCTCTTTCTATCGAGAAGTGTGATTCTTTATAAAGCTTAGCAGACCCATTTTGAAGTCTAAAAGACTAATTTTTTAGAAGGGTAATGGTGTGAAAACCTCTAGAGTCTCTAGAAGCTTGAAAGGGTGATGTCCAATGATTCTTTATTTCAAAAAACTCAAGGAAAAGTCCAAAAAAGACATGTGGCATTCGATAGAGTCAGTGATAAGAGCACATAGGTTTTCAATGCATATACAACCTCAGTCCTATCCATTTTATTAGTTATTTGCTAAATAATTAAAAATTAAAAATTATATTTGTCTATGAACATTTGTTTATATCAATTAATTTTTATAGAATTAAATTAATTTTTATATACTAAAATTGAAAGACTACATTTAATTCCATTTGAAAAGCCTAACTCTTTACTTTACAATATAAATATAAACGACAACCACGACCTAACAAATCAACACCATATTATTTATAATATATACTAAAATAATAATAAATTTTGTAGGAACTTGTAAGTTGGGTGTATCATATCATTTTTTTTTTTTTTTTGTCCTCTTTTGGATGACTTTTACATTTAATATAACCCCATGTAGCTATTTAGCTTTTAAGGTTTTTTTTTGGGATGACGAGATTAAAATATAGTTTTTTTTTTTGGGGCATAATACACTTTTGATCCTTTACGGTCAGTGTCGGTTTGGTTTTTGAAATTAGTCGACTTAGTAGATACGTTGCTAGAAGATAAAAAAGAATAACGAATTAGAGGGTCAAAGCATATTTTAACGATGAACAACCACGTGGAATATTACATGTGTGGTTGGTGACATGGAAATGGCGAATCACATAGGAGTTTGTTTGATTACTTTAGTTGAAAAGTTGGATAGTAATATATTACAAGTCAAGATCCTAATCTAAACATAATGTTTATGACATATTGAGTGGATGATTCAAAGGGCTGCCTTGTCATTTTAAATTTAATTATTTTGACATGTTCCATCACGTATTTGCTGGTCAACGAACCATGGTTAGTGTCAAAAGTAAAATCTGATAGTGGAGTTTGTTTAATTAATTTATAATTCCATGTTATTATGCTTTTTTGATGATAAAAGCAGTTTGAAAAGTTGGGCAATTATCATAATTTAATCGGATAATTATATTAATTATATTACTTTAACATAGCTTTTTTAAAATATAAATACATGGTTCGGATTAAGCTTGGGGTTTGGTTGTAATATATTACAAAGTCAAATTTTAGTAACTTACCTTATTATATACTAACAAGTAGGCCTTCATGACATTTGAGGCTTAAAAATATTCTTAATTTTTTTCAAAATATATATATATTTAACATAGCGACGACGTCGTTTCGAGTTTTAATACTACGCTCCTTGAATTGGAATACAAGATTGCAACGACGACGTTTCGAGTTTCAACGCCTCGGAAGGCCCAAGAAACTGATTTTATTGGGCCTTTAAAGCCCAACTAATCGTATTCATGTGAAGATATTATTGGGCTAAAACGTTTGAGAGGTTCGCACGTGTGAGCTTTTGGCATCCATTCTTACCTTAAACCCTAGTACCGAAGAAGACAGCAATCTCCGTCGTCGTCACAAATTCCTCTCCGGCAGTTCCATTTTGGATACTCTCATCGGAAGCAATGGGGAGTGATAGTGAGGCAGAGAAGTCGCATAAAAAAGACAAAGAAAAGGAGAAGAAGAAGCTGTCGGCTCTTGCACCAATTGCCAAACCCCTTGCCGGCAAGAAGCTCTGCAAGCTCACCCTCAAGCTTGTTCGCAAAGGTATTCCATCTCTCTTCTCTTAACACCGCATTTTTTCTTCATTTTCCTTGATAGATTTAGTTTTTGTTTTGGATGTGAATACACTCGTCATTGTTCTTTCAGCCGCTGAGCATAAGTGCTTGAAGCGAGGGGTAAAGGAGGTGGTCAAAAGCATAAGGCGTGGTCAGAAAGGGTAATTTCTGCTTTGAATCGATCTAGTGTTTATGCTAAAGATAGAACAATGAACAAGGAAGGAGGAGCGAATGATGGAACATAAATTTAATTCCAATATGATCATTTCTGGATGGATTGAAAGCAAAACAAGGCTTTGGAACATCTATAGTTGTAATGTAGTTCATGAAATTCCTTGTACTGTATGCAGATTGTGTGTAATAGCTGGAAACATATCCCCCATTGATGTGATCACTCATGTTCCAATCTTATGTGAAGAGGCAGATATTCGCTACCTATATGTTCCTTCCAAGGAAGTAAGTTTGCACTCATGTGAAGAGGCTGCTAATATCTAGTTCATTTGTATCATTATAAGTTTTGTCAACCAGAATTTGCCATGATTCTTCGTTTCTTCTGATAATGGTAATGATAATGGCGTGTACGTTCTACAGGATCTCGCCAGTGCAGGTTCGACCAAGAGGCCAACATGTTGTGTACTGGTACAGACCAAGCCAAACAAAGGGGAGCTTGGATCAACTGAACAAGAGAAACTCAAGGCTGATTACGATCAAGTTGTTGCAGAAGTATCAGAATTTACTCTTTTCTAAAGAGTAAAGCTTTGTTTTTTTGTAACTTTTCTCAAGCTTTCTTCTCCAAACTTGGTAGTGTACTCTGTTTTACTCTCAAATTTGTTTGGTCCTACGCCACCTTGTGGGAATTCTTTCAAGGGCAAGGGTGGGTAAATTGTTAGTTCAAACAATATGCTCAAAATTTTTGAAAATAAGTTTGCGAATGAAAGAAGATTTAAAAGCAAGCTTATATAACTATAAGCTTACGGGTGAGAGAATTTAACAACTAGTGTGACTGGTCTAGTCGTGATGTTTGGAATTGTTATACAAAATTATGGGAGGAGCTGACAACTAATTGAACCCTTAATACATTTTGAGATGATTCAAGTAGGCCTAGACAACATAAACGATTTGAGGTGGACATGTGGTTACAGACAACATAACTAGGATGAGTATGACTACTTAATCTTAATCTTAAATTTGCTTACTTGTCATAGACATAGTCAGTCTTAATATTACATTAATGTTTGAATTAAAATACTTACTTCGACATTACATTAATACTTAATATTACATTAATATACTCAGTCTTAATATTACATTAATATTAATATTAATGTTTGAATTAAAATAAAAGTAGGATCAAAATGGTGAGAAAATATAACATAGACTTTGTGAATTTGAAACTAAAATTAAGGTGATTAATACTTTATTTAATTAATTAATGAGTTAATACATAATTAGTTTAAGATTAAATAGATTTGTAATTTTTTAAAAAGATTTTATTTTGAATTATTTTTATTAAAAAGAGAGGAAAAATCCTTAAATCTTTTTTGTTGGAACATTGGTGGGAGTGGTAGCGTGGTTGCGTGTGCCAAAAGCGGCGGTGGATCCAGTATGTGAAGTAAACTCGAGCAACTCACCGACGAAGCTTTGCCCCCGCAGGTCAACACCAAGCAATCCTCCTGAAAGAAAGGCTTCATGCCCGATCTATATATTTTAGTCTAACGTAAATCGCACTTTCAGTTCCCGATCCTTTTCAATTCACACGAAATCTGGTCTTCATGGTGCCTTCTTGAAGCTTGATTTCATTTCCAAACAATTTTGAAGCCCTTCGAATCTATATTGCTTGGAAATGGGTTGCTCCTTTTCTGGGTTGAATGCTCTGTACGACGCTGTTAACGGCGGCGGAGACATTTGGATCAACGAAAATCGGTTTAGGATCGTGAGGCAGCTCGGTGAAGGCGGGTTCGCCTTTGTATTTTTGGTCAAAGAGATTATTTCCGACTCGTCTTCTGCCTCCGGCGGCGGTCTTGCCAAGAAATTGAAGGACCCATCTCGTCTTTCTGGTTTGCCTATTTTCCTTAATCTGAGTCCTTCGGAAATGGATTTAAAAATGCTTCAATCTGATCTGGATCTTGAATTTCTTTAAATATGGCTAAAGATGTGGGTTATTTTTCAATGAATTTGATTCTTGCATAGGTGATGGCACTTATGCTTTGAAAAAGGTACTAATTCAGAGCAGTGAGCAATTGGAGCTGGTGAGGGAGGAGATACGTGTTTCGTCGCGTTTTAGTCATCCCAATCTGCTTCCACTTCTTGACCATGCTATAATTTCTGTTAAGGTAGCGCCTTTGTCTGCTTTGAGTTCTAAGTAATTATATTCTCTTTTAGGACAGTACTTTTAGTGTAATAAGAACATTCAGGAGGCTTTGCATAGGTATATGCATATCTATAGATCTTGAAACTTCCCACGTCCAATTATGAAGTAATTTAGTAGTTTTGAATCATTTGATCTCTAGGTTCCTACCAATCAGCTTTGAAGGACGGTGCTAATTCTGTTGAAATTTTTGGAAATGAAATCATAATCACCTTAGTGTCTTCCTTTTAGTGAATATAGCAAAAAGTTTGTCTTCTTTTCTACACTTCTAGTCTGGATTATGGATGAACGGATGGATTAATATGCTGGTTTTTCCTTGGAGATTAGATGTCGTTACGATGTTGCATTGACTACAAAAACTCAGAAACTCGTTCCTCGTTAGGCAACAACCTTTTCATTTTGAAGGGTGTAGTTTCTGATTTATAATAATTTGTTCTTTTAGTATTGGCATTACCATTTAGGCTTCTGGTTCAAGTAATACTTTCTATGAATGGTTTTGTCATTGACTGTGCATAATCTTTCTTTTGTTATGGGGTAGTCATCTACTGAAGGATCTGTGAAACATGAAGCATACTTGTTATTTCCAGTTCATTTGGATGGAACATTACTGGACAATTCCCAGGCCATGAAGGCTAAGAAGGAATTCTTTTCTACATTGGATGTTCTGGAGATATTTTGCCAGGTAATGGCCGTTCGTAGTTTTCACCTTGAGCAGTTTACGTCTTGTGGAATTTTCTCGACTTATTTATGATGAGTATCTGTTCCTGCTGCAGCTTTGCGCAGGGCTTAAGCATATGCACAGTGGTGAATCTCCTTATGCACACAATGATGTGAAACCTGGTAATGTCCTTGTAACTCATAGAAAAGGGAAATCACCTCTTGCAATATTGATGGATTTTGGTAGTGCTCGACCTGCTAGGAGAGAAATTCGTTCTCGTTCGGAGGCACTCCAATTGCAGGTTATTGATTGTTCATCTTTCTTTTCCGATACTAGTAGCAGGATTTTCTTGTATTCTGCAACAATAACCTACAACAGGTTATACCAACTGTAAAATTTCTGAATGAATTTGTTGCACTTCACCTTATTTTCTCTTTAGGAATGGGCATCTGAGCATTGTTCAGCACCTTTCCGAGCACCGGAGCTGTGGGATTGTCCAAGCCATGCAGACATTGATGAGAGAACTGATATTTGGTCCTTGGGATGTACTCTGTATGCAATAATGTGAGTACCCATAATTTTCCTTGGAGATTATTGAATCATATTAATTTTCAGAAACGATGATAATCACGTCGTTAGTTGCTTTCTAGACAGAACTACCTTGTAACGGTCCAAGCCCGCTGCTAGCAAATATTGTTCTGTTTGGACTTTCCCTTTCGAGTTTTCTCTCAAGGTTTTTAAAACGCGTCTACTAGGGAGAAGTTTCCACACCGTTATAAAGAATGGTTCGTTCTCCTACCTACTGATGTGGGATCTCACGTACCCCTTCAGACCAAAAGCTTTTAGTTTGCTGCATCATAAGCTTACAGCCAACCATGAAAAGGGCCATTTAAATGCGGGTTAGCTTATTAAATAGTAATAACCTAGGAAGAAACCGAACCAAATGTTACCCTGAACTCCAATTCAACCAGATCTAGTTGACTTAAAAGCTTCTCGTTTTCGTTTAACGTGTTGTATCATCATCCTTCATCTAATTGGTATGGTTAATTATTTGGAACAAATGCACCAAAACTTCATCACATCATTGATTATTGCAGGTATGGGATGTCTCCTTTTGAGTACGCACTTGGAGAATCTGGTGGAAGCCTTCAATTAGCAATAGTAAATGCACAAATCAAATGGCCAGCGGGGCCTAATCCTCCATATCCTGATGCTCTCCACCAGTTTATAAAATGGATGCTCCAGCCCCAGGCTGCAGTTCGACCTCGGATCGACGATATCATCCTTCATGTTGACAAGTTGATCGCTAAGTTTTCTACTGAGACAAACAGGGCACGAGACAGAAGGTGATAGCCGTACACATTTTCGACAACTTTCGTTCCTCAAACCGTAAGCAGGTACAGTTCGTTATCTGAGATTAGTTTCTCTGTTATCTAGGTGTAGCCAGGAATTATTTTTCCCTTTTTGCCCATAAAAATTCTATCAACCACTCTAAGTTTTCCTCTAGTTTGTAGAACAGTGAATCGAGATTCTATAGACTGGGTCGTGTACTTTCAGGGATTGTTGATTGTTTCATAAAGAACTGCATAATATTGCTCAAAGGATGATCATTCTATACCATATTGGTCCAACTGAGGCCGTAAATTGATACATTTTTATAAGTTTAAAGGTTTAAATTGATGAAATTGAAAGTATATTGTCAAAATTATTACAACAGGCCGAGTTTAGAGCAAATTATTACAACAAAAAAACGTCGCGAAATGGGTGAACTACTACAACAATATTACCTGTATTCAATGATTATATGTTAGGTGACCGTGAAAATTTTCGATCTAAATTTATCTCATATTTTTTGGCGGGAAGGAAATATTGAAAATAAAAAAAGAAAATGAAACTGGCGTCGCCCAGATTCGAACCGGAGACCTTGAGTGATAGTACATTAAATTAGTTAATATATTTTATGTTTTAGATTATTTTCAGTAAAACACAAAAACAATCTTCGTGTATTTATGGACTACAGTTTAAGAATTGTTTTGTTTTGTTTTTCCATTTTCTTGAATCAGAAGGAAGACAAAAGTTGGTCTTGTTCATTCCCTCTCCTTCGTCTTCTTCTAACTAACTAATCCCTCCCTCACTTCAACCCAAATTAGCGCTATAATTATTGTTCATTCCCTTCCTTTCAATCTACTCGCATTTCACTCATTCATCTCAATCTCAATCTTCAACGACCATGTGCCGTTTAAGCAACATGTTTGTGTCTCTCCTAAATAGCTGCACATTGATCGTCGGCTGGATCGCCATCCTCTCCGCCGTTCACGTCCGCCAACACGGCGGCACCGATTGCCAGAAGTTTCTTCAGGACCCTGTTCTCATCGTCGGAGTCTTCTTCGTCGTCGTTTCGTTGCTCGGCCTCATCGGATCCTGCTGCCGCCTCAATTCCATCCTCTATCTCTACCTCATTGTCATGTTCTTGTTGATATTAGGGCTCATGGCCTTCACAGTTTTCTCCCTATTGGTCACCAATAAAGGAATTGGACAGGCCGTGTCTGGAAGAGGATACAAGGAAAATCGCCTTGGGGATTACTCGCATTGGCTTCAGAATTACGTCGTTGGTAATGCCAATTGGATTCGTGTTCGTAGCTGTTTGGTTGATGCGCCCATTTGCCGGAGCCTCGCTTCCAATTTCCACGGAAAACAGGCTGATTTCTACAAGCAGAATCTCTCCCCCATACAGGTGCCTCTTTTGCATGGAACCTATTAACATTTCTTTTTCATACATTAATTCAAGCCTTGGCCTCGCCCCTGTTGTTCATGATCCATCGTATCTGAAATGATATAATGAGTTTTCAGACGACCACCAATCTTGTCTAAACCAATTTGAATTATTTTGCAGTCTGGCTGTTGCAAGCCACCGTCCTACTGCGGGTTCAAGTTCAAGAACGCCACATTCTGGATAGTCCCTGAAGCAGGGCCGGCGGTGCCGGACAGCGACTGCACCACCTGGAGCAACAATCAAAATACTCTGTGCTACGACTGCAAATCCTGCAAGGGCGGAATTCTGGTCAACATCCGTAAGGAATGGAGGCGTCTTGCCATTTTCAACTCTTGTGCCCTCTTAGTCATCACTATCATCTATTGCATCGGCTGCTGCGCCACCAGAAACAACCATAAGTATAACAGATACAATGCCTATCCTTAAATTATTCTTCATGCTTCCTTCATTACCTTGTCTGTAGATTTATATGGTCACAACAGCACACACATGCCCAAATGATATAGCTGTGTATAATTCTTTTCTCTGAAAATTCATGTTTGTTGATGGGTATGTTTTTGGTGCCTTCTACTTGTATCACATACACATATGGTCTGTTCAGAATTTTCTTGATCGTCTGTAATTAAAGGCTATATACAAAAGTTCTGCAGCTATCAAGTCTTTCCTATCTTGTTTTCTTTCTGTCTACAGTAATTATACCTGAATTCTAACCTGGTCTTGAATTATTCGATATTCTGGTTAGTGGGAAGAGGTTGAATTAATCTTAATATGATGCTACTTCTACCTTTTCACCATTATCAACCCGAAAAATACAGCAAGCAGTAACTGTGGCCAGATACAAAGACTAAATCGAATCAAGAATTACAGCATGAATAACCAAGATTTTAATCAGCACCAGGAAGCAATTTTTGACCAGATGCTGTCAGTGAGGTCGTCCCGAAACGTTTGGTTGCGGCGGGGATGACTCGGGACGGCGAAAGGATCTCTGCAAATGAGAACTTATATGTATCTGTCCCTAACCGACTCTGTAACCAACCTTTGCTACCTAAAAACCCATCTGTTACAATCCAGGAGTTCTTGAAGCCAAGCCTTGTCAGTGCTTTTGCAACTGCTTTTCCCGAGTCCGAGTACCTGAATTTCCATGAAATTTAATGAACAAATGAAGTAGATCAAAGAAATCTTTGAGTCAGGTAAGATTACTCACGAGCCCAAGATCACTATATTGGAGCCTTTGTTAAGTTTCTTGAGATATGATATCTTGATGGCTGAAAGTTCAGCTTCTAGCTTCTTTACATTTCGGACAATGCCCCGCAACTTGCTTGGTAATTCTTCCAAACTGAAACAATTTGATGCAAATGCTGATAAGGTGCCCGCCCCCATATGAAATTTATGAAAAATGCAAGCTTGTTTAACTTACGGAATGGCAATCAACTGGTTCTTAGCACTGGATGGAAGGCGAGGAATGCCAGACTTATCCTTGTCTTTCTCGGATCGTATATCGATCAGAACGTAATTGCTCGACGAAATTAGCTCAAGTGTTTGAGCAGGAGAGAGCTCACCTGGTCAAGAATCAAGATGCAGAATTGTACCACCAATCAGACTAAATCACACTCTTTACAAACGAAACCTCCAAATCAAGAGGCATTTCCATAAAAGAGAGCAGATGCACCTTTGTAGCCACGAAAGCTGAAAGATATGGCAGACCAAATTGGAGGAAAGAGCAGGTATGCCACGGCCAAGGCTCCAGCAATTTCTGCAATTACAAGAGGGTCTGCCGTGGAGATTGTCTCGACAGTCGATGAGGCTATAGGCTTGGCACCTTCAATGACCTTCCCAGTTTGTTCCGCTGCACCTACTACTGTCTGCAACCATGAAAGTATTTGATATGTGAAGCTGGGTTTGATGAAAACAGTCGAACAAATACAAAAATCATCGAGTAGAGCAGACCCAGATGTGAACAGTCTACTGATTCTCAGCCATAATCTTCTTTCAAGTATTAAACTGAGTTAATAGCGTCCAATTAAGAACCACAGACCTTAGCAGCAGTTAGAACAGGCTGGGTGTCAATGCCAGAGCCCTGAAGTGCTTCGAGGGCTTTCTTTGAAGCCTCAGAAATTGTTGGAGAAGCAACCTTCAGCGCCTCTTCTCCAGCCTGCTTTACAATCGGCAGCGCCGCATCAACACCCGGCTTCAAAATAGTTCTAGCAGAGTCAATGACCTGTTGTGCAATATCAAAGAAATTCGAACCCGCTTCTTGAACCTGATCAATCGTCTTCTCCACCTACCATTCCACAAAGCATTAAACAACTGTGAGAAATTCTTTGTTGAAAACCGACCATTTACCTGGAACAAAAGAATGATACTTACATCATTGAGAGATGAAACGATTAGGTCCTTATTGAGCGCCCTAGCTTCATAGGGAGAGGAAATTAGGGCTAACATCGAGAGGGTAGTGGACGCCGGTAAGCCAACGGAGATGGGACGGAATTGAGATTTGGAATCGGATCTATGAGAGGACGAAGGCAGTGAAGGAAGTGAATGATGTGGGGTAACGGCGGAAGCTCTGACGGCCATCTTCATCGCCATTGTCGCTACCTCTGGATGACTGAAACAGAGCCACCAAACGTCGAGTGAAGAAGAAGAAGAAGAAGAAGAAAAGAGGGATTGAGGTGATGACTTGGCACAACACTGGATTTCAATTCGTGGCTCCAAATTCCCCAATTAAAATAATGATAATTCAATTATAAATCTTTTTAAATTTACTCTCAATTTAATATTTTGATTTTTTTAATTCTCTTATTTTCATTAAATCCTTTTAACCAATTAACAGGCGCTTCTCTTTGTTTGGCTTCAACAAGGAGCAGCAGAACACAAGAATCTTATATACATCTGTTGTATAAACATATCTATATATATATATACACTGAGAAGAAACTTCCTAGGCAAAAGTGTCGGATCTTTCTATGGTAAAGGATCTCATCAGCAGACTAATGGTTGTTGCTTTCTGGGATTTCTCTAAGATGCTTTGATGCTTTGAACCGAGCTGTGTAACCGACGGTTGTATGTCGTAACGACCGTTGTCTCACTACTTGACAGTATTCTGGGTCGTTCACGTGCCCATCGGCTTTTATCCATTGAATCATTTGATGATTCATTGGGAAGAATCGCATTTGAATGGATGCGTAGATGAAGTATGGAAGAAGGGAAGCTCCCAGAGCTAATAGTGTGAGGATCCAAAACGATGGCGCCGGGGCGCATGCCTCGACGAAGACCTGAAATGCAGTGGTTGATATGGTTGCGTTTATAGCTCCATATGCCATAAGGAATAAGTACCAGAGAACGATGCTGCCCCAGATGAAGAGATGTTGAATATATGTGAAGTAACTGATTGATAATGCCATTTGACAGTTTACAACCCAAACGACACAAGTGTACATGGTGACGCCCAGAATTTCCAACCCGACGACCTCTCCACTGCTGCGGAAAGCTTGATATTCGATTGCCCCGACACAAAAGAAGAAGATGATGATAGAACTTAGTAGCCCGTTGAACGCCCAACCGATAATTCGAACCCAACTAAACAACACGTTTTGGACACCTTCTTGGTATAAAAGTGGGAACTGAAATGTTAAAACACAGGGCAATGAGGCCTTTGACATTGTACTTAAGGTAGCCAAAAGATTGCATCCATAAGAAAATGGTTCCACGTTGGACTTACCTTGAGACAGTGCCGGGATGAGACGTCCTGGTCGAATACTCCCAATGCGATCACAGGGAGAGACGTAAAGAAGACGTTATACAGCGAAAGGAACCAGTCATCGAATACAGATTGGCCAGAGAACGATGC